TTTCTCCCGTACTCGAAAAGTAGTCGTGGCCTTTTTCAGACGATGTCAAAGTAGGGCTTACGCTATCCGATTGTGCCCCTGTGTTGTATGTGCCTCTTCTTGTGTTTTGCGTTTCTAAGGCATACCTTGTACTTGTTATGCTTGGTAATGGTTTTTCTTTTAAACCACTCCTTGCAGGCAAAGTCTTTGAGCCAGTCGACTGCAATCCCGCAAAATCAAGGGTAGACTGTTTGAAGACTGTTTGGGAGTCACTTGTCGTGAATGTTCCTTTGTTTTTACTGGTTTTTGCCGTCTTATCACTGCTATTGTCCGGAATTGTTGCTCCAAATGAGGGAGTAACTTGTGATGTTAAATCTGCCGTTGTACCAAGTTCAGGTTTTGTTGACTGTCGCGAAATATTCATCATTGAGGAAGGCTTAGTAAGCGTGACTAAATTAGGTGTTGTTTCCGTAGTTTCCAATTTTGCGCTTGCAGTTGGTAAAGTGGACGGTGTTACCGTATGGTCGATATACGCAGCAACATCAGAAGGTTTTCTGTCTGCAGTGGTAGAGTAACTGAGGCCTGCTGTGATTGTGGGACTTTGATCCGTTCGTGTACTTGCTGCTTCACTGAAGGGAGTAACGAACTGAACACATTTTTTGTCTGAACTCTGCTCAGTTTTATAGGGAGTTTTGGTAGGCTCATCGGCTTTTGTTTCGGTCGTGTCAAGGGTAAAGTGCATGGTTGAGTTTGCGGATATTTCTCTTGTACTCGAAAAATAGTCCTGCCCTTCTTGAGTGGAAGTCAAAGTAGGGCTCGTGCTAGCCGATTTTTGCGCCTCTGTAATGTATGTGCCTCTTCTAGTGCTTTGCGTCGTTGTGCTTGTAAGCACAAAAATATCATCCAATAAGCATGATGTCTGTTTGAAGTAATAAGCATTGCGGCAATATTTAGCTTCAAAACAAGGGCATTCTCCCACATAGATCATATCGCCATCGAGTAAACCACTTTCGTTCATCTCTTTCAAGCTTTTTCGCACTTTGTACACCAATGATTCTCTGATTAGGTCACCGCAAAGAAATGCCAAATAATCGCTTTGACTGCTAAGAAAAAGCTTCTTAATCCATTCTCCTTGTAACTCGAAGCAATCTTTGTTGGAACCGTATTCTTCTCCACCATCCTCACAGTTGGTACAGTTTGTGATACCTGTATCAGTAAAGACGGGAATTTGTGCTCGCCGACGTCGCCCACTGCGTTCTAAAACAACGGAGTCAATAGAAAAATACTTATATGAAAAAAATGCTATATCATTTGGTTTTCGTGCACCATGACATTAGTAGAGCCCCTTCCCTATTCCCACTTTCTCCTTGCCACTCTATAAAATATATCAAGCCACTCTTTCCATAATTTGAACCTTCTTAAACAGATATGACAGAATTAGTATGAAAAATGCGAGAAGAAGTAAATGAATCCTTAACAATCTAATTTTGTAGACCTCAATAGAATTCTAGCCTATGGTTTAACATACCAAATAACTGCTCTATAACAACATGCCTGCTCCTTTTACGTTTCATCTAGCAACCTTACATTTTAGTGGCCTTGCTTGAAAAACGCAGTTTCGAGCAACTTTTTCATTTGGCTTTTACT